CCCCAAAACCCCAAAACCCCATGAATCTATAATTATAAATATTAGGCCTTAATGTTAAAAAAATAATAATTAAAATTAATGTTGTTAAGATAGTCTCATTCTCAAGCAAACCTCAGGCCGACTCATAAAAAGACCAAATCTTTAATAACTATGGATTCTATTAAATTAGAGAATATCTATAAAAAATAGGCTTTGGATTCTTTTGCCTTACCTGAGATAACTTAATAAGACATCTAGAATTTCCAAAAAAGTTCAAGGAAAGTAATACAATAGACTAAGATAGAAAAGACACTCTACAATAAATTGCGATTAAAAGTGATATAACGTTCACGCGAGGGTGTTGATGACCTCTTGTACACTTTAGTACATAAAGATCCAGATTTGATAAAAGACATTAAGACTCAATGAATTTCACCGAGGGTCAAAAGTCAAAATGAATCAATGGTTAAGAGGAGAAAGACTCTAAATAGTTTAAAAAAGGGTTTGTTATCATCGCAAAAATCTAGAGAAAATCTTACTATGCTAAATGAGAGCACTTCTCTCACCAATAAAATACTTAAACTTAAACAAATCGAAAATGCTGGTAATACCTTGATAATTAAAGATGATATAATAAATAGAGATGAGAATCATGCAGAACATTAGGATACTTTAGAAGATGAGGACTAAGAAGATGGAAATTTAAATGATTCATAATAAGAACTTGATGATCTTTGGTTTGAAAAAGAATTTCGTAAACATTATAAGATAACACATGAAGACATTAATATTAAGATGACAAAACTGTTTCAAAATTGGCTAGTCTAGAAAAAGAAGCAGATGAAGATTTCTGAGGTAAAGAAATATGACCCCTAGTATTTAGTTAGTGATAAGTATTTGACATTGTTAAGACAGAATAATTCAAGGTATTTCGAAGCATTCAATCAAGTTAATAGAAATAACTATGTCTTTAAGGAAATGAGCAGAAAGTATAAAAAGAAATAGAATAGTGATTAGTTTTAGATTAAAAGTGATTCAAAGATACAGGGATCCGCAAGTACCAGTTAACTGCTAAATAATTAGAATCCGAATCTAAGATCCATCATTGATTTAATCATCGGCAAAAGGGAAGAAAATCCAGTAAAACTTACATCACAGAAAAAGATTAACAAAAGACTACTAGAGATCATGAAACTAAAAGATATCAATAATGATAAAAGGAACAATAAGATGAGTATTGAGAAGCAAAGAGAGGAGATGATTAAGAAAACTAGGGAATAGAATTTCTTTTAGATATCACAGACACAGGATTAGCTTTATGATGACATTATACAAATAAAAAGAGAACAGAGAAAAGCTAAGTCAAAGCCACGGACACAGTATCAAGAATATTTTATCCAAACTATCCCCAAAAGTGAGAATGTGCCTAAAGTTTCAATTAATGATTGAGTCTAATTCTACTTAATTCTTTGAAAAATGATGATCTTATTAAAATGTTAAATTTAATTTCATAACTTAACGTGATTATTTATCAAAAATAAACCTACTCTAGTATTACAAGAGCGGTGTAGTAGCAAGTGAGAACCACAAGCAAAATCAAAGTATGGAAAAAACTTTGAGTATTTCCCTCTCCAATGCATTTACTAAAGAACACACAGTGATGATGATAGCCACGAACACAGACAGCACACGCTCTGCAATGATAATCATTTTCCTCCTGCCTAATATCACATATTTCGCATCTCCTATTCTATAAACCACTTGAGTAGCCATTTTCCATATCTATACTGCCAAGTGACACATCTTTAAAGCTATTATTAGCTGAACGGGAATTATTGCTTGAGCTGCTGCTGCTTGAAGCATTAAGTGAATCACCTTATGTAGCTAATATGTCTTGTCTAATGAACAACTCCTTGGGAAGTCCTTAATTTCCAAGCAGAGTATAAAAATACGATTACAGATTAAATCCAATCATAACAAAAGCAATAGACTTAAGTATCATACCAATCTTATTCATATATAGCAATCCCTGGATAAAACAAAATAGCATTACAAGAGCAGCTATGAAAACTGGTACTGCAAACATCCAAGTAGGGCCTATCGTTATTCTTGGCTGAGAAGTATTCTTATTATACCAATAGCAGTAAACATTCCCAATCATTTTAGGCTAATAACGCCTGAATGTAGTAAAATTCAAAGTAGTATTTTATTGTGATTAATTATCTAATGAGTTAGACATATCTTTCATTTCTACCAACTAGGCATTAGTAAGACTTGGCTACTGTAAATGTTTGTACATTTTTAATTTAGTCGATTTAATAATTTCATATACTGTTATGAGATGTATTTAACAAAACACGGGGTTTTGGGGTTTTGGGGTTTTGGGG